ATTTTCTACTAATGTGTCTGATGTGATAAAATTTTCATTTTTTTTTCCTATGGTTTCATGTGTCTGCATGTGATAACTTGGGAAATTTCTGAGTCTGTCCCATTGCTATTTCTCTATGTGATAACTTGGGAACTTTCTACCATTGCCCTTAGGTTTAATATCTGTTTGTATGCTTGTATCTGCTTTTATCCGATTTTATCCACGCTTATCAGGTTAGATGCATACTCACCTTTGCTTGAAGATCGAAACTCGTACGAAACCCGTAGAGCCGGTTTGCCGAAGATATGAGGCGACAGTATCGAAGTCAGTCTTAATTCGAATCCCCAGTCGTCAAGATAAAACCCAGATTGATGTCGAAAATGTCGTCTCATCAGCGAACCATTTTTTTTTTTTTTTTTCCGTTTTTTTTTCTGTTCTAATCTCGTCAAACTTCTTGAATTGTGTCTGTTTTTTGTTCCCTCTTTTACCCCTTCTCCAAGAGATCTATTTTTTTGTTTTATTTTGTTGATTACTTCTCTGCTCTCTTCGTCAGGCTTCTTCAATTGCGTGTTTCTCCCCCACTCCCCTCTTTTACCTCTTACTTTTTTTTCTCTCTCTCTCTCTCTCCTTTCTTCTTTCTTTCTTTCTTTCTTTCTTTCTTTTCTTTTTCTTTTCTTTCTTTTCTCTCCTCTCTCTCTCTCTCTCTCTCTCTCTCTCTCTCTCTCTCTCTCTCTCTCTCTCTCTCTCTCTCTCTCTCTCTCTCTCTCTCTCTCTCTCTCTCTCTCTCTCTCTCTCTCTCTCTTATTTTATTACTCCTCTGCTCACTTTTCCTGCATGGTTTAGTTTGTCGGTCGTTGTGAAACCTCCCGATTCCTTTGCCGGTGGAATTTGCATGCAATATGTGGGTCGATTTTGTGGCTCGCTTTACATCCAGTTTGCAAATTTATGTGAGATTTTTGCGTTTTGCTTTGACTGTCTTTAGGAACAACAAAAAAATAGAATGTTTTCCTTGTCTTGTTTTTGTGCATTTTTTTTTTTTTCTTGTTTTTTTGTGCATATATTTGTTTTGTTTTGTCTTGTTTTGTGCATTTATTTGTTTTGTTTGTCTTGTTTTGTGCATTTATTTGTTTTGTTTGTCTTGTTTTTGTTTTGCACTATGTGTGTGTGTTTGTTGTACTTATTTGTCTCCTCTTCTTTTTTTTTTGCATGACCTGAATGTTTTTCCAGATCTGTGTTCACGTAAGGTAGCCTGACCGCGCCGACCGAGACACCGACCCCCCTCACCCTCCACCCACCACCCCCGACCACCCACTCTCGTGACGGCCCCCGACGACACCCTGACCAACTTTTACTCGCGCCGCCCGCCCGACCGCCCGCTCGACCGCCCGACCGCCGCCCGCGCGCCCGACGCCCTCCAGGACCCGTCGGTGAGGCCCGCGCGAAACTAGGGCTCTCCCCCCCCCCACCCCCACCCCTCTCCCTCATTCTCTACCTCACCCACCCCCTCCCCTTCTCCTGTCACCCATCTCCTCCATTGCGCTACTACGTGACTGCTCTGCCCCGGCCTGCCACTGACCTGCCCGGCCCGCCCTGACCTCTTCTCTACCCTAGAAACCTGTGACCTGCCTCCCCCCTCCCCTACCCACCCGCCCCCACCGCCTCCACCACGCAACCTCCTGTTCCAGATACCAGTGACCTGTTCTGACCCGTATCCCCCCCCCCCCCCGCCTGGCCTGAGCTGTTCCCCCACGCACCCCATCCATACGTTTCTCCCACACTCTTCTCCTCCATTCTTCCTTCACCTTCTCCTCCCCCCTTTCCATTCCTCCCTTTCCTTATTTGCTTCCCCCTTCTGCCCCCCTAAATCATTCTCTTCTGTCCCCTTTCTTTCATTCCACTTTCTCCTCCTCCTACTCCTCTTCCTTCTTCTCGTCCTCATCATCATCATCATCATCCAATCATCATCATCAATATCATCATCATCATCATCACCAATGCAATCACCACCACCAAAAATGCCACCACCACACCATTGTAATCACCATGATCTATATAATTACCATCATCAACCGCCAAAGTCACAAACCAGCATCACCATCACCATCAAATCATCATTCAACACTATCTCATCGTCATCATCATCATCACTCTCGCAATCTCAGTCATCACTCACTATCACACATCATCAAAATTCCTACCATCCAACCAACACCCCCCACTCCACCCTTCCCCACCACTCCGGGCAGTGACCTACCCTGACCAGCCTCCGCAGATGACATCGTCGGTGACCCTTGATATGTGTGACCAAGCATACCTAATTGCCTGGTGTTTGTCTTTATTTCCAGACTTTCTGATTATGTCATGTATTCCATGATTTGTGATGCAGTTTAATAAGGAAGAATATATATGTATATATATATATATATATCATATATATCATATATATATATATATATATATTATATATATATATATTATATATATATATATATATAATATAATATTTAATATATATATATTATTAAAAGGAAGAATTATTGTATGGGTGTGTGTGTGTATGTCATATACTTACATATGTATATATATGCATATATCTATTATATATATATATATATATAATATATACATACTATATATACTATATATACAATATATATACAACATAACCACACACACACACACACACCCACAACACCACACAACACACACCACACACACACACACACACCACACACACACACACACACCACACACACACACACATGTCTCTCTCTCTCTCTCTCTCTCTCTCTCTCTCTCTCTCTCTCTCTCTCTCCTCCTCTCCTCTCTCTCTCTCTCTCTCTTTCTCTCTCTCTCTCTCTAACTCACTCATCTCACTCACTCACTCACTCACCACCACACACACACTCACACGGCACACACACACACATCAACACCACACACACACACACACACACACCACACACACACACACACACAACACACACACACCACAACCACACACACACACACGCAGCACACACACACACCACCACACGCACACACTTCGCCCCACACGCACACACACACCACGACACACACACACACACACACGCACGCACGACACACCACACACACACCACCATCACACACGCACCCACCACCAACACACACAGACACACACACACACACACACACACACACACACCACACACACACACACCACACACACACATCACACACACACACACACACACACACAT